GCACTTAAACTACTTGAGCGAACTTACAGCGAAAGCTGCTATCCACATGTCGTTTCTATAAAATTCAGTCAATTTCATCTCTCGTATCTTCCCGAAGGTGTTTTTGTTCCAAAATTCTATCAGTTTGGATTTCTCTTGTTCTCGTGCCGTTGCTCGAGCTAGAGGGGGGGGGGGAGGTTCTCTAACTAAAAATAAATCTGCGGTACGATTGTGATCTTCGGCGGGAAGCCGTCATGCAGTCGCTGAAAGAGTGTTAACCGCTATTTTACCAAATGTTTTTCTCTGATCTAACTAGTAGTTTAACCAATGCATCCAGGCTCATTCTCTAGCATCTCATGACTGGAACCCTTTAAAAATTGCTAAATGAGTGAGACCGGTAAATCAACTCTAGCAGACTTGCTTTCCAACGCGAAATAAAATATACGAGGGAAGAGGGTCGTACAGGGGTATTCTCGTGATGCGTGATTAGCTGATTTTGTTTTCCGCGAAACGTGAATTTAGGAAATTATTCTTCGTGATCCGTGACCTGAAGGTTTTCCGTGACCCGTGAAGAACTTGAATTATTAACCGAAATACGTGATTTCACCACTCTATTCTACGTGGTTTTGAGCCGCGAGTCCTCCGAATGGTTAGAGTCGTCTATCGAGCGTAACTTAGGTATGCGATTTGCAATATGGGGCCTTGACTTAGCCTTTCACGATTTTGCTTTCTTCACACTCTTTCTAGAGTAAGAACAGGTTATTTAAAAGAATATCTTACTTGCTTATTTTCGTGATTCGGGAAAACGAAATTTTTATATCCGTGATCCATGATTCTCCATTTTTCCCGTTCGTGAACCGTGTCAGAGACCCCCCTGTACGACCCTCAGGAAAGCACTTGTCCGGTCCTGCGGTAGCTTTGAGGAGTACTATATATCGGAGCAGGGATGGCGCAGTGGCGAAGTGATGAGAGCGCTCGCCTCCAACTAAATGCAATATCAACTCAATTCAACCAGGATAGTGGACCGGCATGAAAACCAGGTCACGCTTATGTGGCTTCCCCTCCGAATATTGTAATTTATTTCAATTGATTTATTTATTTTTTAACAGTG